ACTTTAAAGAGATCTTGTGCAGCAGATTTGCCCAGTGCAAAATGTCATTGGATTTCTTGACTCCTGCTTCCGTGTGTGTTGATGGTTGGTCAGAGTAAAATGAAGTCTTTGCTAACTTGAATCTTTTCTCCATTTATTGTGATGTTATTTATTGATCCAGTTGTGAGGATTTTTGTTTTCTTTACATTGAGATGCAATCCATACTGAATGCTGTGCTCTTTGATCTTCATCAGTAAATGTTTTAAGTCCTCTTCACTTTCAACAAGCAAGGTTGTATCATCTGCATATCATAGGTTGTTAATGAATCTTCCTCCAATCCTGGTGCCATACTCTTGTTCATATAATCCAGCTTCTCAGATTATTTGTTCAGTATACAAATTGATTAAGTATAGTGAAAGAATACAGCTCTGGTGTGCACCTTTCCTGATTTTACACCATTCAGTATCCCCTTGTTCTGTTTGAACAACTGTCTTTTTGTCTATGTAAACATTCCTCATGAACACAATCAAGTGTTAAGGAATACCCTTTCTTTGCAATGTTATTCATAGCTTGTCATGATCCACACAGTCAAAAACCTACACATAGTCAATAAAACACAAGCAAACCATCTTTCTGGTATTCTCTGCTTTCAGCCAAGATCCATCTGATGTCAGCAAGTTCCAAGTCCTCCTCTAAATCAACTTGAATTTCAATGTACTGTTGCAGCCATTTTGAATTATCTTCAGAAAAATTTTACTTGCATGTGATATTAATGATATTGTTCAATGATTTATGCATTATTTTGGGTCACCTCTCTTGGAATGGTCACAAATATGAATTTCTTCCAACCAGTTGGCCAGGTTGTTGTTGTTGTTGTCAGGTGCCATCGAGTCGGAACCGACTCATAGTGACCCCATGCACAGCAGAACGAAACAATGTTCGATCCTGGGCCAACCTCACTACCGCTGCCACACTTGAGTCCATCAATGATGCCACCTGGCTGATCCATCTCGTTGGGGGTCTTCCTCTTTTTCTCTGACCCTCCACCCTACCCAGCATGACATCCTTCTACAGCGATTGTTTCCTCCGGACAATATGTCCAAACTAGGAGAGACGAAGCTTAGCCATCCTGGCCTCCAAGGAGCACTCTGGCTGCACTTCTTCCAAAACAGATCTATTGGTTCTTTTGGCAGTCCATGACACTTCCAGTATTCTCCTCCAACACCACAACTCAAAGGCATCAATTCTTCTACGATCCTCCTTATTCACTGTCCAGCTTTCGCATCCATATGAGGCTATTGAAAACACAATGGCCTGGGTCAGGCGCACCCTAGTCCTCAAGCTGACATCTCTGCTCTTCAACACTTTAAAAAGTTCCTGTGCAGCAGATTTGCCCAGTGCAATACGTCGTCTGATCTCTTGACTGCTACTTCCGTGAGTGTTGATAGTTGATCCAAGAAGAATGAAGTCCTTGACAACTTCAATCTTTTCTCCATTGATAAGAATGTTGTTTATTGGTCCAGTGGTGAGGATTTTTGTTTTCTTGACATTGAGATGTAATCCATATCGACAGCTAGGTAGCTGTCTTCTAAATTTCTTGGCATAGATGAGCAAGTGCCTCCAGTGCTGCATTCGTTTGTTGAAATATTTCAATTTGTAGTCCTTCATTTCCTGGAGCCTTGTTTTTTTTTTACCAATGTCTTCAGTGTAGCTTAAACTTCTTCTTTCACCTCTTGATATGGTTGAACATCAACCATTTCTTTTTGAGGTGTATACCTTCCATCTTCTTTTGATGCTTTCCACATCATTCAATAGTTTGCTAATAGAATCCTTCAATGTTGCAAGTTGAGGCTTGAGTTTTTTCTTCAATTCTTTCAGTTTGAGAAATGCTGAGTTTTCTAACTTTTTTGATTTTCTAACTCCAGGTCTTTGCACATTTCATTATAATGTGCAAATGTGACACATAGTAAGCACCTAATAAACATTTACAGACAGAATGAACACATGATATGAAATGGTAACTACAACAGTAACACTTGTGACACACTTAATGGTTCACAAAACACCCCCAGACCCATTACTTATTGGATCCACCCAGTAATCCAAGGAGGTCATTCACCCAATAATATCTACATGATCCCACATATGTCAGGTGCCAGATACTATGCTGGATGCTAGGCATTCAGCTTCGACAAGACAGAAATGGGTTCTGTCCTCATGGACCACACTGACAAGAGCCCCTATTTTTATACCTTTCCTTGGTTAATGGTTTTTCAGGACACCAATCATTTTAGTCTTGCTTGTCTGGATCTTCTTTCACCTTATCATAATTCTGCTGAAGCATAGGGATCAAAACTTGCACATAACATTTCTGGGCAGACATACACGCTATATAAAATTCTAGTTGATTTCTATTACTACAATGCTTATGATAACTCCTCTAATTTTGTTAACTTTTGAGGCTATAGCAACTTTTGTGTATTGTAAATCTTGAAAAGTTACAGTCCAGATATGAAAATCATTTACTAATCACCCACTCACCCTACTTATTCATTCAGTCATTTACCAAACATTAATCTAGTGCCTGCATTGTGCCAAGCGTAGCAGATATAGAGTTGAATAATGCATGGTCCTCAATGAGACTCAGAAAAGACAGACTTACTAACAATTATAATAGAGTTCAAAGTGTTAATTGCAATAGTAGAAGTAGAGTATCATGGCTACTAGGGTGGTACAGTTTGCTTTGTGGAAAAGAATTGCTGTAGGGGGTGGTAACAGGACAGATAACTCAGAGAAAATAGACATACAAGGAACTGAGGGGTCAGATAGAGAGACTCAGAAAGGACTAATAGATAAAAGACTATGTTGATAATAAAGAATGAGTGAGACTGAGAAGGTAGAAGTATTGGAAGCCAGGAACATAGAGGGGCATTTCTGGATTTATGAATTCAAGGAAAGTCAGTGGTGTTAGGTTTGCTTTCAGTACTTGAATGTTATATGATTTTAGGGAAAAGTCTCTCTTTGAAATGGACTGATTACCTGAAGGCAAGCATCCCTTTTTCTCTTTTAAAAAGCAGGATTCAATTTGCACACAATTACAATTCAATCAATATATCATGGCATGGGTCAACATTGAGATATTAAAGGCATTTTATTAATCCAGAGAGTGATAATTATATTGCATATTATGATTATAAGCAATCAGTGTAATTTTATAGCAGCCTGAATATAATTCATTAAAACAATGCCAGACAATGCTGCTGAAAAGCTACAAGTGAGGACTGCTTTGAATACCTCTGAAAAATAATCTCAATCACTCTCAGTTCCTTTTTCTGGACTGATGCAAGCAATCCAGACACTCTGCCAAGTGTGGCATTATGATCAGCACTGCATGCTCTTCAGTCTAAGAGTGAAGTATGGATGATTTACTCCCAAACTGGAAAGCCTGACATTTCTGTTATTTAGTGACCTGACACATCACTGGCTTTCCTCAGTGTGGTTACTCACAAGCAGTATACACATTTCAGGGCCTGGCTACAGGGGTGTGGGGGTCTCATCAGGGCTTTTGAGGAATATTACCGAGTTGTTTATTGATTTCGAACCTAGGCTCTTGAGGAAAGCTGCTGAGGTTTGAATCCTAACTCTACCATTTACTAACAGTGTTGCATCCAGTAAGATACCTTGCAACTCTATATCTCAGTTCACCATTTAAAAAGTGAAAATAGGGGTAACATTGGCTTCTGCCTTTAAACATTAAAAGATTTAATATGTGTATGGCACTTGGAACACTGCCTGGCATTTAGTAAGCATTTAATAAATGTTAGTGTTCATGATCATCACTAACAAATGTAAGCTACCTTCTACCCAAATCACCTGGTATGGCTCTGTAGGTAAGTACTAGACTGCCAGGTCGGTTTGAACCACAAGGTCAAACCCTATACAGGGTAGCTATGAGTTGGAACTGATTCAACAACACTTAACAAAAGCATCCTACATTAAAAAGGAGCAATGGTTAAGTGCTCAGCTACTAATTGAAAGGTTAGCAGTTGGAACCTACTTAGCAGATGTGGGAACCTGCTCCTGTAAAAATTACAGCCCGGGGAACCCTATGAGGCAGCTTTACTCTGTGCTACAGTGTTGCTATGAGTCTGAATTGGCTTGATGGTACCCAACTACAGTAACATCCTACAGTACCACGCTATCATCCATCTATCAGTGTGTCATACTGTGGTGGCGTGTGAGTCTTAGGTTGCTGCAAAGTATGCCACTGGTAAGTCATATGTTGGTAGGGTCACCTATGATGGACAGGATTCAGCAGAGTTTCCAAATAAGATAGATTGGGAAGAAAGGTCTTGTGACCTACTTTTGAAAATGAGTCAGTGAAAACCCCAGGGATCACAGCAGAATACTGTCAGATAGAGGTTGGAAGATGAACCCCCCCTATGTTTGAAGGCACTATGCAATGGTTGTAACAATGGACTCAAACATGCCGATGGCCATGAAAATGATGTTTGTAGTCATGCTATGTTGTACATACGGTCATCATAGGCAACTTGATAGCAACCAATAACAGCATCATTACGACTGAATAAGCAATGTACATATATAATTATCACATTTACCCTAAGCAATTGCCATGGTTTTGGAACTGACCGAACATTAATTTTGCATACCAACCCTCTGAATTGATATTTTGCAAAACTAGAGCAAATCTTTATTTCATATAAATAGTTTTGGCAATATCAGTTCTGTACATTGTACAATTAGTTTTCATTTAAACACCATTAGATTCTGCTATGGTAATGTTTAGGTTCTGTTAATTTTGTTAAATTATAACTTTGCTAGAATCAGCTCTAGATTAGCATTCAGTTTACTCCTGGAGAAGGAAGTAGTTAACATAAGGTTTAGGAAAAAGGTTGCAGAAATTCTTACTGGAAGAGTATTACCTATAGTTGACCAGTGTTTCCTCATAAAGAGCGTCCAGACCCTTGTGGCAGGTCTTGGAGGAAGAAAGCACTAACCTGACTGTGATAGTAACCAGGCACTCCTAGTTTGCAGGCTTCCAGGTTGAGTGGTTCTTTAAGATTGTTCATAACACAGCACTGACGAGGCCAGGGATAGTCGGCATCATTATTCTCAGTCCTGAAGGCAGATGTGTATTTTTGCCAATCTGATGGACCATTTACACCACAGCAATTGTCCTGTCAGTGGGTGAAAGATAACAAATTTTTCTTTCATGGAATTTACTAGAATCATCAATGCAGCAACTGAAATTTTATGGAGAAATAAATCTGTTGAAAGTGTATATATCTTTTCTTTTCAAAATCCTGAAATTAGAGCTGGATATATTAACAACATATTTTAGAGCTTGCAAAAGACTTTTCACATTTATTATTTTGTTGTTACTAAGTCCTGTCTAGTTGGTTCCAACTGATAGCGACCCTGTATAGGGTTTTGAAGTAACACATGGTGAGTTTGAATCACCGATTTTGTGGTTCAAACCAATCTTGCAATCCAGAGCTTATTCTACAGCACCATACCAGGACTCCGTTTATTATTTTACTAATGGTATTGTAGGATGAGCACTCAATTGCAAGGTCAAAATGGTAGAAAGAAGATGGAAACAAATAAACAAATCAAGGGACTTACCCAATGGCTATAGCTAGAATAGATCAGATAACATGAGTGTGGTGCTGTGGATCAGTACTGGACTGCACACCACAAGGTCACCAGTTCAAACCCTCCAGCTGCTCCTTGGAAGCCCTATACAGGGTCGCTATGAGTTGGAACCGACTTGACAGCACTTAACAACAACAATATCCTTTTGCTCAGGACAGAATTAAAGATAGATCATGAAACCCCAATCACTTTACTTCCTTTTCTATAATTTATATTAAGATATTTCAAAGAAGGGATTTAAAACTACAGTTATTTCAATGTTTAGAATAAATGATTTTTAAAAGCCTGGTGGCAGATCAGCTGTCTTTAAAGCAGGTCTGATTGCCACTGGTTTGTGAGTACTACTTAGCCAGGAAAAATAATCATCTCATATTTTGACCTGAGCATTTTGGAGAAAAATGGTTGAGTTAGAGACAGGTTTTTTGCTGTGTTTTGAAGCTTGGGTAAAGGGATTTTTCAAATGTATGAATATTTATATATTCATTTGAAGAGTTTACTCCTTGCTAATAACATTTTCACAATACACAATTTTTATACTGTGTAACATACATAGACATTAACTATGCTATCTTCATTGATTAAAAATGATATTGATTATGACCGACTAAATTGAGTTCAAAGGTACTAGAATTGTTTCTCCCCTAGAAGGAAATAATCTGATCTGCTGAAGGGAGGAGGGGGATCAGATAGAACATGACTAATATTTAAAGACAGTAACTGACAAGAGCATTTACACCCTGACTCATTTAGGGGTACTCCTGAATGGAGGTAATAGAATAGCATCCAGAGAGCTCCGAGTAAACTTAGGACATTGGGGAATGCTCTTATGATTCTCGGAGAATTGTTCAGGGAGACTCAGCATAACGCCAGCAGGGTCTGTAACACACAACAGAAGAAAGACGTGCCTACAATTCTTTGAGCCTGCTATCTCAGGGTGGCATAGGAAATGCAGTCAAGTATTCCTTAGTGGGTCAGCAGGACAGAATCCATGGGACAGAAGAAGATGCAAAGAAAATGGACTTGATTACTAGACAGCAAGTTAGACTGGGGGCATCAGTGGAAGATATAGTACAAACCTTAGTAGAAGCCAGCAAAAACAGAGGATGGTATGAAGAAGATTATAACTTTTTAATGGTAAAATAATATATAAGCTCCCTGGGAACTTAAATCATCTCCAGGAAAAAGTTATAGCTCTAAATTCAGTTGAAAACAATTTTGTTTTGGCTGAGTAAACTTAATTACTATTAGACATCCAAATGGAAATGTCAAGTGGGTAATGGTTCCAAGAACAGCTTAAAGTTGGAAATTTAAATTTAGAAGCATCAGCATATAAATGGTGTTTAACACCATAGCATTGAACGCAATCCTTTAATGAGTTGGTCTGACTCTGCCAAGGCAACTGCAGTTCCAGCCATCACACTGTTGTGTTGTTAAGTACTGCCTCCTTAACAGTAGTTGTTAGCTACCCTGTATAGGGTTTCCGAGGAGAGGTGGTGGGTTTGAACCGCTGACCTTGTGACTCAAACTGACCTTATGGTCCAGTGCATTATCCTGCAGCGCCATACCAGGACTCCAGCCACCACATTGTTGTTGTTGTTAAGTACCATGGAGTCGGTTCTGACTCATAGTGACCCTGCACCGGGTTTCCGAGGCTGTAAATCTTTATGGAAGCAGAAAGTCTCATCTTTCTCCCGTGGAATGGCTGGTAGTTTCAAACTGTCGACCTTGAGGTTAGCAGCCCCGATTCATAACCACTACCCTACCCGAGCTCCTTTAACATACACTGCTGGTCATTAATTTAGAAACAGAATGGTATCTCTCCAAGACTGTGAGGCATTACCTGAAGCATGAGCCTGTCCCAGGTCTTGGTGACTCCATTGTTTTTCCATCTGTCATCATTGCTTGGAGGGCTGTTGTTTTGGTACCTCTCCAACATCTGCTTCAGGAAGAGGTTGGTTGTGAACTACAGTGGGAAGAGGCAACACAAAAGGGAAAATTAGCACACTAATCCCCAGGGAGGGCAAGTAGTTTTTTTTAGCCTGTTTCTAGGGCATTGAATATTGTCTCTTGTGGGGAGCAACTCTGTGCTCAGGGGCTCCAAGGAGGGGTGGGGAGGGTAGGAAGCTGCTCTGGTTGCCCAGACTCCCTACTTAGGGAGAAGACCTTTGAGTGAGAATGTGGTGGACAAGCATTGTGGGATGGCGTAGGATACGGAAATGGAACAAAGGAGAGAAGAAGGATGCCGGATTGAGAGTAAGTCTTAGATAAGGTGGAATATTGATCACCCCACTGGCAGGCGGGTGCCCCTGGGAGAGTAGTAAAGAGTATGGGGGTTACAAGCTTGGGCCCCAGGAATCAGGTGCCTGGGCTCAGGATTCTTGGTCTTTCACTTAACAGCTATGTTAACTTTGGACAAGTGACTTTTCCTTTGTAGATCTTAATTTTAAAAAAATCTTTTGTTTGGTTTTGTGTTTTTAAGAATCTATAAAATGACAATAGTGATACTTATTTTATAGGGTCAAGTAGCTCTGGTAGCATAGTGGCTACGAGTCGGGCTGCTAATCTTAAGGTCAGCCATTTGTAGGAGAAAGATGAGGCTTTCTACTGCTGTAAAGATTTACAGTCTGGAAAACCCTATGCAGGAGTGCTATGAGTCAGAACCAATTCCACGGCACACAGCCACCAGCCACAACCATGACCACAAGACCGGTTTGAACCGCAAAGTCAGAATTTCAAAATCACCAGCTGCTCCTTGAAAACCCTATGCAGGGTTGTTGTGAGTTGGAACTGACTCCACAGCACTTAACAATAGCATGAGGATTAAGGACTTCTGGTGTGGCGCTGTGGAACAGCACAGCACTGAGAGCCATAAGGTCGGCAGTTCAAACCCACCATCTGCTCCTCGGAAATGTCTCCACAGCTCTTAATAACAACAATGAGAAATAAGGAGTACTGGTGTGGCTCTGTAGGTTAAGCTCTGAATTACTAACCATAAGTTTGGCAGTTCAAACTCAGAAACCCTATACAGGGTCACTGTGACTCAGAACCGATTTGATGATAGCACACAACAACAGCAACAAATGAGGATTAAAGACTCCTGGTGTGGAGTTAGTTGTAGGATAAGCACTGGGCTGCTAACTAAAAGCTCGGTGATCCAAACCCACCATTTCATCCTCGGAAACCCTCTAAGGATCACTCTGAGTAGAAACTGACTCGATAGCACTTAATAATAACATGAGGATTCAATGAAGTGATATATATCATTAATATGCAGATTATATAGCTTGACACTTAAACCACACCAAACGCCACTAAGTCGAATTGGCTAATAGCAACTTGTCGGGCCAAGTGTTGTTGTTGCTAAGTGTTGTTGGGTTGGTTTCTGAGGAGCAGCTGGTGGGTTTGAACTTCCGACCTTGTGGTTTGTAGTCCAGTGCTGATCCTACAGTGCCACACCAGGAATGCATTCCATGTGCCTGACACATAATAAGGCTTTAATACATGCCAGCTATTACATTGCTATATTTATTATGATGATGATGATTCATATGAACGTTTGTGTTCTGTGCTTTTTGAGAATATACTTACAAAGTCTCGTTGTGTTGCTGCTGTGATACAAGATGCCACCTCAAAGCCATAGACTATAAACATCAGAATGAAATACTGGAAGGGAAACAAATAATAAGAAGAACTGCATTTACCGTCAAAGAGAGACTCCCCTTGCCAGAGGATCATTATATTTTTCAGAGCATAATAAATATAAATACTATTAAATGCAAATATCCAGTCATTCATGTAGTTGTTCAACAAGGTCTCATCAATCATTTGGTTGGAGTAAGACTTGGTGCTAGTTCTACTCAGCTCAATTCTGTTTCTCCAGAGAACAAATGACCATTGAAGACAGAAGTTTCTCAAACTAGATTCCTGAATGTTTATTTATTTTTTTAAATTTTAACTGTCACTTGAGGGAAGCCTTGCAGACAAGATCAGCAGTTTTACATTCAACAAGTCATACGCTTAGTTTCATCTCAATGACTGCTGTTCCCTCCATGCAACAACAGTTATCTTACTCCCTCCCTGTGGTTCCTGTTTCCATTCCACCCACCTTCCCATTCCTTCTCAACCTTATCCTTGTTGTTGTTGTTCAATGCTATCAAGCCGGTTCCAACTCATAGTCACCCTGCATGGGGTTTCTGAGGAGCTATTGGCGGGTTTGAACCACCAACCTTGCAGTTCAAACCGACTTTATGGTCTAGTGCTTATCCTACAACGCTACACTAGGACTCCAACTTTGTCCTTAGGTGAATGTTTATTTTAATGGAGAGAAACAAATACAAGAGAAGGAGCCAATGTGTGTGTGTATTTGTGCTCAGCAGCTAGTAGGAGTCTTCCTGTATCAGATAGTATGTAGAGCCTCAGAACTCTTTTCTAATGGGGGGATATTTTATTTATCACTTGTTGAAAATTTTGGAATGAGGATGCCAGAAAAAGGGAGAACTGGATTGTGTTTTAACATCCACTGCCCTCCCAACAAGTAATGTAGTTTGTCACAGAGGACCAGATAGCCTTCAGGCAAACAGCCATTCAATCAGATTCTTCCCTTATATAATCTCACTCCAGATAGTTCCATTAGCTCAATGAGCGACACAGAACTCACTGTGTGTTGTAGTTGCTGTTATTGTTGTGTGTGTACGTGTGCATGCGCGTATGTGTACATAGGCCTCCACATGACACTGTTCCGTTTTCAGGCTGGGAAATATTTAGAGTTCTGCCTTTGCCTTCCTCAGTCTGGCACAGACACTTTAGGGCCTTGGGTCCTTCTGGGGGAGGAGCATTGACGTTATTGTCTGTAAGGAAAAACAAGGGCTACTGTTCTCCTCCCGGCCAGAGGAAACCTTTCTTAGCAGGACCCACAGCTGCCCTGAAAAAGACTTCTAAGGTGTTAACAGCAGGAGCATCATCAGAGGCCCCATGGTAGCGCTTTTCATCTGCTATTAGTTGCTGCTGTCTTCCTTATCTAGAGCTCTGCTGAGGCTCCTTAGGGGCACTCTGGAAAGAACAGTCAGGGTTGTGAGCTCATGCTCTTAGTAGGGCATGATGGGGAATATCCCTGAGCCGCTCAACTCTGGCTGGGTCAAGCAAACATCACTGGTCCAAAATGAGACTGAGACACAGGGGAAACTTGTCTTTAGGAATCCCTGCCTCTCCTTTCCATTTTTACTGCCTTCCTTTCCCCACCCTCCAAAATTGGACCCTTTTCCTTTTATAAAGTCAGTTGGTTAATAACTTCACCCTGAGGAGACTGAGATTGCAAGTGTTCTTGTTCTGCATTCCTGGGCACCAGGACAAAGGTAAAGGTAAACCAACAGGCACCTTCAGTTGTTGGACTTGTTCTTTAAAGATTGACCTCAGTTCCCAAAGTATTTGGGTAGGAGAGTCTTTTCAGGAATGGGAAGTGGGGGTGAGATTGTATCTAGTTTCTTAAGACAGTGTGAGTAGCTGCTGTCCTCAGGAAAGGAGCAGGAAGTAGTGGTCCAGGCCCGACACATGGGTTACTCAGCTCTGTTTGCTGTAAATTTGCTTCCATCTGAAAGGGCAGGATGACAAGATCATCAGCTGTGAGCTAAAAAAAAATCTCTGAAAAAGCTCATGCTTTATTTTAAAATAGACATGAACATTTTGTAGTTTATATCCTGATATATTAATGCCAAATTAATATTAAAGTAATATTTTAAATGCCTTATCACCTATCTGTCAGTTTGTTGTACTGGGAGAGTGTGCATGCTGCTATGATGGATGCTGAGAGCTATGCTGCTGGTATTTCAAATCTCAGTAGCATCACCCATCATGGACAGGTTTCAGTGATGCTTCCAGACTTAGATTAGGAAGAGAATCCTGATGACCTACTCTAGTGAAAAGTAGTCAATACAAGCTTTCTGGAACACAACAGAATATTGTCTGATGTTGTTCTGGAAGATGTGACACTAGGTTGGCAGGTAGAAAATACCCAGTGGCCACAGCAATGGACGAAGCCTACCATTGATCCTGAAGATGGTACACAATCAGGCAATGGGGTTCCCATAATCAGAACTAACTAAATGGCAACCAACAATAAGACAAGAGAAAACTGGGTGATCAATTAGAAAAAAAAAAAATCTTATGAGCAAATTTTCATCATCTCTCCTTTGTCCTATGTAGTTGCTAACACACTATCTTACCTGCCAGTCACATGTGCACACCAGTTTGAGAACTACAGATCTGGAAAATACTCACCAGTGTCAACCCCTTTGAATTATCTGTGTTGGAATTTCTTGGACTTGCAACAGTGGAGCATATCCTTGCCCCATTCTCTGCCAAGAATTTCTCCTCCTCCTCCACTCTCTTCCTACCTCTCCCACTAAATGCCAAAGCACTGGGCTCAGTGGAGGAGAAACTATCAGTCAGAATTGGTCAGGAAGATAACTGCAAAGAGTTTTAAGATCTTACCGCCAGAAGAATTTTCCTATTGGACTTCATGATGCCTACAATGCCAAGAACAGATAGGCAGAAGAGGCAGATGCCAACAAACATGCCAATCCAAGCGGCTCCATAGATGTCATCGTTGTCGGTGGCTTCAAGCAGTGGGTACAGGCTGTGTTGGTCAGATACAAAAAAGATGCACTCTGCCGTCAGCGCGATACCACACATCTGGGGAGACAGTGGGTCTGTTAGTGTGGCTATGTGGGTTGATGGACTGGGAAAGTGGTGGGGAGATGGGTAGGAGAGCCTCACTCCTTCTCCTGCATAAACCTCCTGCCTCCTCTCTCTCCTGGCAAACTCCTCATTGTCAGATTACCAAACAGATACTGCCATCTTCCTCATTGGATAACTCCCTCCTTGTGTTGCTCTGTCTTATTGTATTTGGGGAAAGACCCAGACAATATCAGACTGTCATAATCTGAGGACATGAACCACTCAGATGACTCTTTGTTTGGAGTTAAACCCTCTACCCTGTCCTTACTGCTGCCCCAGCACCCAAATTCCTGGCCCTAACATGGGAACTGGTTCTGTCATACTGATAAGTGCCAGAGAACCATTGAATGTGAAAGCTAGAAGAAACCTTGGTTGTTATTTCTCCCACCATGCTGTCACCTCTTGGCCTCTGAGTCACTCTTGTTTCCTGGTGTTTTCCTATACCTGACAGGTGAAGAAGATGCATACCTGCACCTCCCTGCAATCTTAACCACAGTGTCCCATGGAAATCAAACTAAAGTGATAGAGAAAAGAAATGTCAAAGTTTGGGTGTGTGGGAACTGCTCATGATGAACCATGGCTTCTTTTAGATTCTTACATTTTAAAGTTGGGGAAGAAATTATTTTTTTTCAACACTGATCTGTTGATATGTTACATCATTAGATATCATTATTTACACAGTTAAATTCTAACTAGCATATGTGACTAATGTAGTTCTCAGAATAAAGATGCAGACAGCCAGTAATTATATCATTATTTTCCGTTAAACTCCTGCTTCGAAGTAATCTAAACTCTTGATTACAAGAAGTGTGGAAGCTCTTAAAAAGAGCTTTATCATTACTTACACCAATGATCACATTTCCAAAAATTAGCAGGCCCTGGAAGCAACGAACAGTAGAGTCCTCTTTGACCATCTTTGGGATTCCTCACCAGCTGAAGACACAGTTGAGAAAGCATCATTTAATAAGAGTAGCTGACAACTATCAAGCCACTTCGTAGTGCGTGCGCCAAAGTAATCAAACCAGTGAACTTATTTAGTAATCGAGGAAATATGGTTCCCAAGCTCAATAAAAATAAACCTTGCTGGAGTGTGTCCAGTGTCTTCTAAGAGTTCTTTAAGGAATGAGAAGACTGTATATCTCTGAATGATGAGCTGAGACCCCACAAGGTCAACAATTTTTATATAAGAGCATAAAAAACAGACTGGGTAGGACAGAAGCCCAGTGGTATCATGAACCACTTATATTGAGGGCCTCTTACCATCTTGGTCATCACAGTGGGTAAATCTACGGTCAGCATTGCTCATTGGTTCTTATGTGGACTGCTATTTAAAAGCATTGTTTTATGAATATTTTATGATTTTCAAAAAAATCATCAGTAGCAGTTGAGTTGATTCTGACTTGTGGCAAGCCCATATGTATCAGAGTATAACTGTGCTCCATAGGGCTTTGCTGACTGTTCACAAGGAGCTTACCAAGTCTTTCTCATGAGGTACCTCTGCTAGCAGCCAAACACGTTACCCATTTGTACCATCTGGGTTCCCCTTCCAAAAAATACTTGGCAACCAAAACAGTTCTTTGTCACATAAGAGGCGGTGAGGAGAGAAAAGAAGGAATAAGTTTTGTTCCTTGAATGTCCCACTTTGCTATGTTGTTGTTTTTGTTAAGTGCCGTTGAGTCGATTCCGACTCATAGCGACCCTGTATAGGGTTTCTGAGGAGCAGCTGGTGAGCTTGAACTGCCAACCTTGCAGTTTAAATGGCTTTGCACTCTGGCACATTAACCCACAACATCACACCAGGACTCCACTTTGCTATGTACAAATATTTAATTCCCATAATAACCCAATTAGGTAGCACAAGATAAGACATGAGGTAGGTGACATTCCAGGTAAAGGTAAAGTCAGGGAGTAGAGACAGTAAAGAGTAAGGTGCCCAGGAGACAGAGAAGTAGGCAGCTTGGCTAAAGTACCAGTTTGTGTAGGACATCAGTGGGAGACAAGCTTTGTTAAATTTTTAACTTCAATGTTACACATTAAGGGGATACTGTATCATGAACCTACCAAGGCACCTCAAACATCTCTAAATGCTTTCTCTTACCTGTTCACTTAGGTGGCTGCGGGGATTCTGGGAGTTTGTGGCCCAGAATTTGGCACATAGTGGGCACTCTATCAATGCTTGCTGAATGAATGGAAGAGTCTGGGCTGTTCTTACAAGATCCTTATGTGCAGTTCCTGCTTAGACATGGCATTCATTGCTTTCTGTTTAGAAATGTCATCTGTGACTATTGTGCATGAGTCTGAGGGATGCCTCTGTACTCGGAAGGAGTTAACGCACAAACTCCCTCAAGGGAGACTCACTCACGTAGCCACAGCAGTTATATTGTAAAGCTTACCCCTGGTGTGTACAGATAATGCTCCTATCATCTAAACTAGAAGCACAAATATATAGACTACAAAAGGTGGAAGTTCAGGCAAAAGAAGTACAGAATATAAAGGGTAAAAGTCCTCAGGCCAAATTTAGCACCCTTATCAGTCTGCTGACTGTGTACCCGTTTGTCAGGTGGTTGTTGTTAACTGTCATCGTGTAACAGAAAACCTCACCTTTCTCCCACTGTGCTGCTGGTGGGCTCGAACTGCTGACCTTGTGGTCACAGTTCAGAGCTTATCCTACAGTCAGTGCGCTCTCATTTGCTAGATTGTTGTTAAGTGCTGTCAAGTTGGTTCCAACTCTTAATGACCCTGTATAGGGTTTCCGAGAACCAGCTAGTAGGTTTGACCCACCAGCCTTGAGTTTTGCAGTCCAGTGCATCCTAAAAACAACTTGTTGCTGGTGATTTGATTCTGACTCAGAAAGACCTTGTTTTAATTTTAAATAGGACCTTTTCCCCACTTTTAAACCAAGTAGAACTGCCCATAGGGCTTCCAATGCTGTAATCTTTATGGAAACAGACTGCCTCTTCTTGCCCCAGGGAGCTTCTGGTGGGTTTACTCACTGATCTTTCAGTTAGGAATTGAGTGCTAAGCCAATACGCCACCAGGTGATTGTTGTTGTAAAGTGCTTTTGAGGCAGTTCTGACTCACAGTGACCCTGTACAGTGGAGCATGTGGTTTAGAAGTCCAATGTTTTGATCTACAGTGCCAATTGTTGTTGTTGTTAAGTGCCATAGAGTCAACTCCGACCCACAGCAACCCTGTATAGGATTTCCAAGGAGCAGCTGGTGAGTTTGAACCACCAACTTTGCAGTTCAAACGGCTTTGCAGTATGGCGCATTAACCCACAGCGCCACACCTGGTTGGGCTTATATGCCAGAAAGAAGACAATTTCTTCTTTCAAGAAATTGAATGTGTGATTGTAACAATTAGACTTCTGGTGTGGCCCTGTAGGATCAGCTCTGAACTGTGAACCACGACAAGGTTCAAACCTACCAGCTGCTCCTTGGAAACCACTATGACTCAGAGTAACAATAACAGCTTGGATTCAAAGCAAAAATGATTGTGCACAATAGAATAAAGAAAAAAAAGTAGAGCCCTGGAGAAAAAAGAAAGGAGACAGATATGCCACCAAAGAGAAAGCTTTATTGGTCCAAAAGCTGCTGGAAGGATCCTGTACAAAAGGTTTGGCCAAGTTATTTCCCATGAGTTGACTTTCCAAAGACGATTCTGCCATACAGCGTTCTAAAAAGGCAAAAAGGGCAAATGTGTGTGCATGTGCAAAATTTGTTAAAAGTAAGAAATAGGGTGGAAAAACTACCCTTGAGGTAGCTAGAGATGGCAGAAAAGAATGGAGACAGATAGGGGCTTGATGTGAGTAAAAGGAAAAGCATGAATTGAGGAAACATAGAAAGGTATATCATATGCATAAGGTTTTCAGTGACTAAATATTTGGAAGTGGAGTCCTGGTGTGGCACTATGGCTTAATGCACTTGACTGCAAAATTGATTTGAACCACAAGGTCGGCAGTTCAAGCTCACCGGAAACCCCATACATGGTCCCTATGAGTCGGAACTCGACGGCACTTAACAACAACAACACATATTCTGAAGTAGTCTGCCTATCCTTCCTGTCTTTGTCAGGAAGCTCATCTGAAACCTGTCCACCATGGGTGATCCTGCTGGTATTTAAAATACCCATGGCATAGCTTCCAGAATCCCAGCAACACACAAACTACCACAGAACAACAAACTGACAGATGAGTGGTGACTAAGGTGTGCCTGACCCAAGTCATGGTATTTTCAATAACCTCAAATGTATGTGGAAGTTGGACAGTGAATAAGGAAGACCATAGAAGAATTGATGCTTTTGAGTTATGGTGTTAGAGGAAAATATTGAAAGTACCATGGACTGCCAAAAGAACAAAGAGTTCTGTTTTAAAAGTACAGCCAGAGTGCTCTTTGGAAGCCAGGATGGCCTGACTTCGTCTCTCATTTTTCAGACATATTATCAGGAGGGACCAGTCACTGAAGAAAGACATCATGTTTGGTAAAGTGGAGGGTCGGAGAAAAAGAGGAAGCTCCCCAGTGAGATGGATTGGCACAGTAATGGCAGTGATGGGCTCAGGTGTAACAACAGTTGTGAGGTTGGCCCAGGACCAGGCAGTGTTTCTTTCTGCTGTGCATAGGGTTGTTATGAGTCAGTACTGACTTGATGGCACCTAACAACAACAACAAGAGACAGGTATATGGCAGACAATGCCAGAGAGGCAGTTCAGCCAAGGATTGGTTTATGGAAAACAGATATTCTGAACTTGCTGACCTTAGACTTTTCTCCATTTTTTATTATACTTTCTTTTCTTCTCCTTCAGGCCTTTGGCATCAATGACATATAACTAGGAAAGCCATGCTGGTCTTCCAAAATAACAAAATAATAATGACAGCTGTTAGTGAATGAGTACTTATGATGTTTGTAAAACCAACAGTTTGGAACTTTATATTCTTCCTTTCAATTGGTAGGCTTTTTCACTTATAAACAAAATGTATATTGTTTTCCTAATTCTACTATAACAGACTATACTACAAATGTAGTGGTTTAAAACAGCACATGTTTATTATTTTACAGTTCTGGAGGCTGTAAGTCTAAAGTGAGTCTCACAGGTCTAAAATCAAGACATTGGCTGAGCTGCATTCATTCTAGAGGATTGAGGGGAGAATCTGCTTCCTTGATATTTTGTAGATGAAGAAAAGGAGGCTGAAAGAGGTTAATTAATTTATCCAAGTCACACTGCTAGAAAATGCAGAAGCTGAGATTCAAACCAGGGTCTGCCTGGCTCCAAACCATTTCCTTCTCACTCTATAATTTGTAAAGTCCTGACACATATCTATGAGGGTTAGTTGAAAAATGAACAACTGACTCACTTCCTGCCAACCCTAAAGCCAAAAACCAGGCACAACATTTTCCCACCTCTTAGAACTCTTGACTCTACGAAGATCAGAAACACCAGATCCTTCTGGATGGCATTCTCCCGGCTCTTGTTCCCTAAGCCCCTCACACAACACTTTTTTTTCCTTCAACTTAAAAACTGAGATAAAATTCACAAAACATAAAATTTACCCCTTAAAAATTTAAAGTGTACAATTCAGTGCATGTGCAACCATTATCAATATTTATTTCTAGAACACTTTTTGGTCCCCTCCGAAAGAAACCCTGTTTCAGCCACTCATTAATTAGTTCCCCTATCCCAATCTCCCCTCCCTACTCCAAGTGCCTAATCTACTTTCTGTCTCTATGATGGATTTATTTGTTCTGCTTATATCATTAAATGAATTAATAAAATATGTGGCCTTTTGTGCCAGTCGCTCCACCGGAGCAAGAAATAGACTTGCTGGTCTTACAAAGACATACAGCCTTGGAAACCTTATACGGGTCACTATGAGTCAGAACTGACTTGACCGCACTTAACAACAGCATCCTTTCACTTATGATGACTTCTTCAAGGTTCATCCACCTTA